CTCACTTATATGAATATACTGAATTAGCTTCTTCTTTATTAAAATAAGTTGATGAAGTGTGCTGTAAGCAGGAAGTGTTGACACATCAGTGCCATAGGGAGTTGTTGAAAATCTAACTGTTAATTAATGTCAGTACGGCTCACATTTCTGCTGCAGTTATAATGTTAGTTTAACTGTATTATGTGTCCGGTTCTTTAGTGTTATCAAAATGTCTGTTAGGACATCTTTTTACTAAGAGCACAAGGGAGCTGCAAAGTGAGATATTATAAAGCCGTGTGTCAGATCTGTTGATGAAAATGGACAGAAGGTGTTGCAGCATATCAGAGTGTGAAATGATCAAATGCAAAACAATGAACCCTTTAAATAATCACAACTTTACATGAATCTCCACTTTATGAATGATGTTATCCTAATTCAGGCTGTAGTGCCACTGAGGTCATGTCCTGTTATTTTTCTCGGAATTTGAAACGATGGACCTGAATATAAACTGTTAACCTGTTAAGCCTCATGTCCGCAGGTTTTTAGAAATACTAACATATAAACTACGCATTCTGGTACACTCTGAGAAGAAAATAAATAAATCTATTAGGCCTACTACCCGACATATTAATAATATGTTATGCCATTGTTTGTTTTTCACTTAGTTCTGACAGCTGAACTTGCTGCTCCACACAAAGAGAAGAGTAAAGAGGAGATAGATGTGAAGTACTTTACATTGTGGGTAAGGGTAGATAGCCCCCATTGTTCTGTGACCTGTCAATCATCAAACCGGGGGTCATATTTCATTATGTGTTCATTTTTATCTGAAGTTGTACCCATGGATGTATAAAGAATAGTTCTACCGTAGTTATTCTCCGTGGGGACTTCCGGCAACAATCTTGATTCTGATTGGCCAGAAGACTCGAAAAAACATCAGCAAAGATGTTTTATTGAGAAGATAAATATAAATGGTCTGCAAAGGCTAAAATCCCTGTGTTCCCTCCAGAGGGAGTTTCTCTCGAACACACTCCCCCCCCCCCCCCCCTGCCTGAAACAACTTCATTGGTCTTTGATAGGCCCAACCCTTTTCAGTCAGGCCCCCCTTGTGTAATTGGAAATATTTTCGAGCCCCCCCTAATCCGGTTCCCACCGAGATTGGTAGAATTAATTGTATATAGTTGTACAACCCTAACCCTAACCCATTACATTTTCTCTGCTAATAATAACAAGACAAAAATATACAAATATAATTTTATATATTATTATGGATTGAACATGAACAAAAGTGCTTGTATTGGCAGATGATCCTGTGCCACTGTGAAATAATGAGGCCTAATTGAAACAATTACAAGTACTGCTTATGGGTCCGGTTCTTTAACAGTATTTTCTAGGTTATTTTTGTTCTTTTTTAGGGGAAAAACTAAACAAATTAGAAACATAATTCACATTGATTAATTTGATGTATAGTGTGGATTATGGGCTGCTAGCACACATACAATTGCAGTGGTGGTACTACTGTAGTAAGTCGATTTACTCAAGTACTGTACTTATATTGAGGTATTTCCACTTTTGCTTCTTTGTAATTCTGCTCCTCTACAGTTCAGAGGTAAATGGTGTACTTTGACTCCACTACATGTATTTAATACCTTTAGTTACTTCACAGATCTGGATGAATGATGTGAAATATAATCAACTCTTAAATCAGACTTTAGTTTACACCTGGAGTAAATTCACAAGCTACCCTGCAGTACTTTGACTTAAGTAGCCTACTTGATCAGAGTACTTCTCCCACTCGTATTTTCCGCGAAAATACTTATGGCAAACGAGCATTGACCACATCGAGCTCTGTAGATTAGATTGTCACTTTTTAACGCTATGTTCTCCACCGGCGGATCTCTGGGTGTTTCTCAATGTCGAGTACGCTTGCTTGGTAGCACATGTCTGCCGAGCATCTTGCTTCAGAAGCGAGGCAAGAATACTTCCTGGCATTCGGAAAACAAAGAGTGGAACAGGCGAGCAAGTGTGCAGGTGTGCGTCATATGAGAGGCCCCGCCTTACATTTCCCGCCACAGATTTGGGGAAATTGGTCCGTGCGCAAAGCATTGTGGGGATTTTAAGATCGCGGAGTCTACACATGTGCAGCCTCGAAATTTCTCGCTACGAAGTACGCCGGGCTCGGTAGAATTCCAAGTATGCTGGAGATTGGAACAGTCCTTCAGCGGCACTCGATGACGTAGTATGCTTGAAATAGTGGCTCTGGAGCAGCCTTACTCGACATTGAGAAACACCCACTGTGTGCACGGTGCTGCAGCGAGTCATATAATCATATAATCCGTTCTTATTGTGCATCCATGGGTAAAGGTAAAACTCATGTAGTACTGAACACGTCACATGAACGTGCCAGGCGGCGCGGTCCCGTGGGTTAGATGCGTGTTCATAATGCACAGAAAAATAACTCTCAGAATAACGAATTAGCACATTTTACAACTTGAGGACCGAATGTTTTTAATAAGGGCTATACAAGTGTTCATACTGGGTAGTTTATTTAGTTTAAAAAAAATTATCCAACGATTTACAGACGTCTCTTTCCCAATGTTAGTCAATGGGAAAAAGTATTTCCGGCTCAGCGACTGATACGGAAGTTTAGTACCGCCGTTTGGCCACAACGAATATTTTCCTCAGAGACCGGCGCACTTCCTGGGGGCTTGGTCCCGACGGACCCGACTGTTGTGTCGCCTCACGTCTCCTGCGTCTTGGCCAACAGTCACACTGGAACACACCGCAAAGACTTCAGCCGACGGCCAAGTTGCACGTACGAACTGCGCATGCGTGAGGGGCAATAACTATCCTTACCAGCAGGTGGCGGTAGTGTGTATTCGTCATTCAAAAGAGGCAACCGGAAGACAGACTGCGTGATAACCGAGAGAAGAACAGACTGCGTGATATAAACAAACAACAAATAGCATGTGCGTTCCATTTTCACTCTACAACGAGAAGCTCGTGGGGCTTTCCCGAACCTGTGTCGAGAGCTGGAGTTAAATGAAATCTCAGATTTGCCTTCTTAATCATTTGTTTGGGTCCCTCACTTCCACTTCGCTTCTCATGCACTGATTCGCTAAGCTGAACAGCCAATCAGAGTGATTTCTTTAGCCGACGGCCTTTTACCGACAGCCGCGGCGGAAGGGGTCGGCACGGCCGAAAAGACACGACGGGGCGGGACACACCAATCTGAGTAGGGCGACAGGACGCTCATCGACGGCCAGACATCTATCGACATCTATCGACGGCCGAAATCGGCTTGGTGTGTAAGGACCTTAAGATGTCAAGGGAGATATATGCCTTATCATCAGTGGCGACTGGTCATTAGGGGCATGCACAGCCCCACCTAGTGTCAGCAGAAAGTAATTCAAATAATAATTCCCAAAAAATGAAAATAAATGCAAAGAAAATACATCTTAAAATATATTTTAAGATCATGTTTAATCATCTGATTCGTCTGTACATTGCTGTTTTAGTCTGTGTTCTTCTAATTAGTGTCTACAGTGTGCCTATTGGCGCGCCCTCCAGGTCGGGAACCACTGGGCTAAGGGGCGTGACATATCCGATACATCTCTACAGTAAGTGGTTGACCAATCACAACAAAGACAAGAAGCTAACTAACCATTTAATCATCATAAAATACAAATATGAACCTGAAAATGAGCATATGTCCTCTCCAAAGTTGCATTTTCAGATTGCATTTTCTTCATAAATTATCCAGACCCTTTGCCTGAAGACTAGTCAGCATTTTCTTCCAGATTGATGCCAAGCAATCATCGATCAGCTGTAACTTGGAAATGCTCCAAAGAACATTTATATTTTTTTCACAATGACTTACGATAATGTGATGACACTTGCAAATGCAGTCAGCAAAATCCTTCTTCTAAAAATGGGATTTAATTTAATTAGATTATAAATGACAAAGTGCCTAAAACTTCAACTAAAGAGATGCATCAGCTCCATCTTCCAGGGACTGCAGGGCATCCCATAATGCCGCTCTCTTTCAAGGTGGCAGCCTGTTGGAGCTGGTTATCTGAGGTAAGACCGTAAGCCCTGAATTCAGATGTTAAGGTTCAAATTGCTCTGAAGACGCAGACCAACCGTTCATAGACTAAAAAGACACAAAAAGAGCCGCCTGCCAGCTCGGCTGAATGATTAAATCATCTTTACAGGCAACACTTAGCATTTTGGACGTTTGTTTCGTGCACCCACTGTACCATGATATGAAAATGCTTCGTTGTTTAAAGAAAGTTGGTCAAAGTGTTTAATAATGAACTGTAGAAAAGTGGAACTGAGATGTGTTGTGTATTCTAAGCAAAATCATTTTTTAATAGTTAGAAAAATGAAAGTACCAATTTGCATCGGCATTGATGGGATTACACAATTAAATGAATAAGTAAAAATAGCATCAATAAAGACATTTGACCACTTAATATTACCACAAATGTTTAATAATATTAAGGTGGTAAAACTCTACTAAGCTAATAATAATAATAATAATAAATAATAATAATAATACATTTTATTTAAGGCTCCTTTCATGAAACCAAGGACACCGTACAATTTGTTAAATATTCTCAGAGAATATTCAAGGTCAAAACAATTATGCAGGTTGTACTCATCTAATTGGATAAATCAGATTATAAAATAGTAGGATTAACACAATAATGCCAAATGGAACTATTTAACATGATGCTACAAATTGTTGCCTATTTTTTAAGTTGTGTATTCATTATTTAAAGTGTAACCTGATGTTTGTTCCTCTCTTAATACACATAAGATGAGAATGACACAACGATGCTGTTTCATGTTGGCGTTTGAGCAGCTTTGATGAGGGGGAGGTCCGGTGAGGAAAATGTAATGATGGGCTAATCCCCTCGCATGCGTAATGAAAGCTTGTGCCAAAAGCAGGGCTCAAAACCAACGTGCCATCTGCCTGACAGACACACTTTGTTCTGACGAGAACACTGCGACGCATCGCTTTTTACGCACCACACCACCGCGGAGGTACAGCTGATTCCCAGCAGCTCTTTGACACATTATGATATTTGGAGTATTTTCACGTGCAGCACACGTTAAGGTGCTATTCTGAGCTTTTTCAGATTGATAAACACTTTTCCCGGACCTGCAGAGTAGATTGATCTCCTTCCATCGCGCGTAAAAGCTATTCGGTGCGCCAGGAGGCAACATCACCGCTTAAAGAAGTCAACTTTTTCTCTGATTTTGAGACAAATCATCAAGATGGAAAACTTTACAACAGCTCGGGAGCTGAACCACACTTTGGGGGTTTGGACGGACAACAGCCTCCAGTACAAAGTGATAAGCAGTGTGCTGCTTTTCGTGATTTGCGTTTTAGGATTCGTTGGCAACGTTATGGTCATCCTGGTGGTGCTCACTACCAAACACATGAGGACTCCCACTAACTGCTACCTGGTGAGTTTGGCGGTGGCTGACCTGATGGTGCTGAGCGCGGCTGGCTTACCCACAATCACAGAGAGCATCCTCGGATCCTGGGTGTTCGGACACTACGGGTGCCTCTGCATCACCTACTTCCAGTACCTCGGGATCAACGCCTCCTCCTGCTCCATAACCGCGTTCACCATAGAGAGGTACATCGCCATCTGCCATCCCATTAAAGCGCAGTTTCTGTGCACCCTCTCGAGAGCCAAAAAGATTATCCTGTGCGTCTGGGCTTTCACTTCCCTGTACTGCGTGATGTGGTTCTACCTGTCAGACATCCAGGAGCTGGTGTACGACAACATCACCATCATCACGTGCGGATACAGAGTGTCCAGGAAGTTTTACCTGCCCATCTACTTCTTTGATTACGGAGTTTTCTTCGTGGTGCCGCTGATGCTCTCCGCGGTGTTGTACGGACTCATCGCCAGGATCCTCTTCAACAACCCGCTGCCCTCCGACCCCAAAGACAAGAAGAAGAACGGACACAACAACCACAGCAACACCAAGAGGACCAGCTGCAAGAACTCCCGCCACTCCAGCTCCACCGCCACCTCCCGCAGACAGGTGGGTGCTGCGACCCTCACACACTGTGACACATCCTAAACCAGGGGTGTCAAACTCAATTTCATCGTGGGCCACATTAGCATTATGGTTGCACTCAAAGGGCCGGTTGTAACTATATAAATATACATATATAAATACATAATATATATGAAATAATGTATTATATTATATTATTGCCTCTGCATTGGATTTGTATTGGATAGGGTAATAACTTCATAATTAACTACGTCTGAAAGCAGAAGTCTAGGGCAAATAATTGCAAGTCTCTTCAGTGCTCATGTCACAACATGAAATGCATTGTGGGACATATCGTTTATGGACAACATGCTTCTGTAAAATAAGATAAGATAAGATGGACCTTTATTAATCCTCGTGGGGAAATTCAGTAGTTTAACAGCAACAGGGTGAGATTGAAAAACAGGACAGCACAGATTCACACAGATTAATAACATTAAGGATAAATCAAAGATAAAAAATAAAAATAAGAAATAACTATAAAATAAGTAATTAATTAAAATGAACATATATATATCCTGTAAAGTGGCATGTAACCTTATAATAAACGTATTATATTCTTTGCAAGCTCTTGCGGGCCACATAAAATGAAGTCGCGGGCCGGATTTGGCCCCCGGGCCTTGAGTTTGACACCCCTGTCCTAAACCATTGAAAAGATGCTGATGCTGTGTCTGAAAATGTCTGAAAAGTGCAAATACATTGTCCTTGTACTTGAGCAAGTAAAAGTTATAGTAATGATTTTACACATGACATAGGAATACATACAATAAAAAAGTGTATAAAATATTTGAAATTATTTTAACTTCCACCAACTATTATAGAAATGTGTTACACACTCACAAATGCATTACTACAATTATGGTTTAAAAAAAAAGTATAACACTCAGGAGCCTTTTTCTCTGCATATATAATTAAGTACATTTTACGAGTTACTTATCCACCCTTTTACTGAACAGTTGTACTATGATATTTAATTGTAATAGGGTATTTTTGTAGTGTGGATTGCATACATTTAGGTAAATACTCTCATCACTTTTTCCACCACTGTAAAAGACTCAAAAGAATAAAACTTCATTTAATGTAACTTAAAGGGGACCTATCATGCAAAATGCACTTTTGTACGTCTTTTATACATGAATATGTGTCCCCGGTGTTCCAGGGAACTCACCAAGTGTCAGAAAACACAACCCTCTCTATTTTCCTCCATACCCAAATCTCTAAAAAAGGGGCTGCAACGGATCTGATAAAAACTGATCCAGATTTGAACACTTTCCTGACGTCAGGACAGTGGCGCTACGGCTATTGGGCCAACTCCACCAATCAGGAGGAGACAACCACGGCATTGCCGTTCGAAAGCACTGGAGACGTTGTAGTACATATGCCAGGCCTCTACATGGTGCTGTTGCTCACAGAATCAACCCTTGCTAAAACAGATCTAAAAAATGTCAAATTGAGCAAAATGAGGCATGGCTAAAATGCATGATCTGTTTGGTATTTTGAAAAAAAAAAGTATAAATATGCCTTATATAAGTATGGTCCTACACTATATTATTCAAATATAGCATGATAGGTCCACTTTAACGTTATAATTAACTAACCAATTGAATTTCACTTGAAGAACCTAATGATTTCAATAGGGCTATTCAAGTGTTCCTACTGGGTAGTTGATTTAGCTGAACAAATATATGATACACTGATTTAAAGATGTCTCTTTTGCAATGCAAGGTAAGGGGAAAAGGTATTTTTGGGCTCAAATTATATTTTGTCTGACACGGTCGTTGTAGTATCACCGTTTGGCCACTGGTTCACAGAGGCTTGCTATAGAGAGGCGAAGTCCCTCCCTTTCCGGGGGACCTCCATGGGACCTTATTTCGGAAAAAGTATGTATTGAAGTCAATGGGGAGAGAAAGATTATCTTTCGATCCCGTTTGAATTGTGCCACGAATTACACATATGATGTTTGTCAATTTAAAAGATCATTTTGCAAGTCAAAAAAATAAAAATGTGTCGTAAAACTGTAAAGTAAAGGCCCGGACACACCAAGCTGACACCAAAGAACTGACACAGACGGACCCCCGACTGTTGTGTCGCCTCGCGTCTCTGCGTCTTGGCCATGTGTCGCACTGGAACACACCGCAAAGACGTCAGCCGACGGCCAAGAAGCCCGTACGAACTGCGCATGCGGGAGTGGCAATAACAACGGCCAAAATCGGCTTGGTGTCTCCGGGCCGTAACACATTTTTTTGTGTGAAACGCTCAATGAACTACATCTCTGGTCTCAGACGGATCTCTGGTCTCAGACGGGAAGCGAAAGAACGAGCAAGAGGTATGATTACTGGTATGATAACAACCTGGTACAAAGCACACAGGCATCTTGTTAAAGTACATTTATTTTAGCTATCTCTTATATTTAGTGTAGGGAATAAATCAGTTATGACATCACTTACGCGAGTCTGGGATTTATAGTCTTTCTAGTTGCGTATTTTTCATAGTCTTATATTTCAACAGTTTTACGACAAACTGTGACTTTTTTGACATGGAAATGATTTTTTAAGATTGACAAACATCATATGTGTAATTCATGGCACAATTCAAACGGGATCGAAAGATAATCTTTCTCTCCCCATTGACTTCAATACATTATTTTTCCGAAATAAGGTCCCATGGGGCGGAAGTAGATGGGCGGGACTTCGCCTCTCTATACAATAAAGAGTTTTATTGCAGCAGCAGTTCCTATTTCTGCGTGTCACCCCCTACAGGTGACCAAGATGCTGGCTGTGGTGGTGTTCCTGTTTGCCACGCTCTGGATGCCGTACCGCACCCTGGTGCTGGTCAACTCCTTCCTGGACCGAGCCTACCTGGACAGCTGGTTCCTGCTGTTCTGCCGGATCTGCATCTACCTCAACAGCGCCATCAACCCAGTCATCTACAACGCCATGTCTCAGAAGTTTCGCGCCGCTTTCCGCAAGATCTGCGGCTGCAGGAGGAAAGGCTCGGATAAACCGGCCGCCTACAGCGTGGCCCTGACTTACAGCGCGGCCAAAGAGACGTCCATGGTGGAGAGCACCGACCCCTTCACCACGGAGCTGGAGGAGCTCACGGCCACCGACGATCTGCTGTCTGATCAGAAGATGATGTTCCCCGACCCCTGCGTGTACGAGAAGGAGAATTTCAGCGACGCCTGAGCTTCGTTTGCGGAGGGTCAATCAAGGATTTGAAAAAGTTGACTAATGTAGTCCGTTGAGTGGAATATGGTTTCCTGAGTGCCTGCTGACCTTTTCAGAGCCAGAGATGTAAACACAGATTACAGTCGCTGATGCGTGATGGCAGTGTTTGAGGCACAAAGCCCAGTAAAGGTTTGAAATGAAATGAAATGAAATGAAATGATGCCGGACATTGTGAAGCAACAAACACGGACAGATAAGCACCCTCTTATTGCACAGCTGTTATCTTATCCTGGACCTATAGTAATAAACTGAGAATGAGTCCACAAAACATGAATGTGAACACAAAATTCTCACTTGAGATGTACGGTGTAAATAACTCCAATACCCAGAAATCCTGCAAACTGACACGTTTACCATCATAGCCGCTCAGTGATGCTCATACCAAAGGATACCAAAGAGATGACAGAAGCAAAGAGAAAAAAACGCAGAATTGAAGGAGTTGAATTGCCTCTTCATGTCACGATTTACCATTATCCAAGAGTGAATTGACTGCACTGTTCATGCTGAATTTCAGGAAGGGTGTTTTTCCTCAGTTTCAGTGTGAAGAGAATATCTTTTCACACCAATAAAACACCTCACCCGGTGCAGCTTTAATAACTGTATGCCCCATGATGTTTTCAGGGCAGGCAGCCCATTAAAGGTCACACCTGAAGCTTCATGGACAGAACTGGCTCAATTATTATTGTGAAGGACTGCATGCGCGGCCTCGAACAAGATGAGAAAACCGAGACAGACTGTACTGAGTTTGTTCAGGAGGACCGGGTACAGTCTTTATATAAAGATCTCCTGACGCTTTGTTAAGATGTTCTTTTGCAAAGCGTTCACTGAGAGGGGAAACAAGTTCATAAAGTACTCTGTAAATTAAATGCAAAAAGTGCCATAATAAAGTTTATTATGTGTTGTTTCCACAGTAACATCCAGTTTCTAAGGCATATTTTATAATATGTTATTACGTCATTCGTAGGTACAAAAAAATCCAACATTTTATAATAAGACAAATGCAAGAACAACCTTTAGTTGCTGTTTATCATTCAGTATGAATAGATTTGCCTTACGTTACTGTATATCAGCCTGGAAATACAATTTTGTCCGTTTACTTGAATATATGCCAATGCCAGAATGATATATTATATATAGTGTCTATACAAGTCACTTTAAACTGGTTAGAGCAAATATACCACTCCATCCAAAAAGAAAATTAAATATACAAGTAGACCCTCTATTGAATAACGAAAGGGTGCAAAATAGACACCAAAATATATGAATTCATCGATATTTACAACTATTCAATGTGTTGAAATTTGCACCTGAAACCACACCCACCTGTGAGAGAAGTTAAACCACAAAAATAAGACTCAATTCCAGTAAATAACAAAAAATACTACAAACAGATAGCTTTGCCTCTTAGCATGTTCAACTGGTATTGTTTTTGGTGCCACTGTCATTTTCCTAAGAACTGCCAACAGGGTGGGACGTGTGCCAAAACAAACAGCTCAACAGGGACTTTAATAACATCATATCTGTCCATTGATTTGTATTCAAACAAACAGATTGCCGTTAGCAACCTGGCTAAAGTAAAACAACCTATAGTATTAGTACCTACGCAGGTTTTGTTACTTACAGACCTAGCTTAGTAGAAAGAACATTTATTTCCTCCTTCTTTGCCTTAAGCAGGGCTATTTAGCCAGGTTGCGTTCCCGTAGTCAACATTACCCTGGATGTTGCTATAGGAAAGCTTAGGACTATTATTGTGAAAGGGAGTTCCTGACCTGGAGGCAGAGAGAATTGCAAAGGAAACTTAAATCTGATGGTGTCATTATTCTACAACCATAACATTGTGCAACATTGACTTCATAATGATAAGTTAAAGCAAAATGTTATCTATTGCTTCTTTAATGGATGTATTTATTAATAATTTAAAAAGAACAGTTATTTATCTCAGCTGTCTAATAGTTCACAGTTGTAAATGTTAATAAACGACAGCCTTATACAAATGTATAAAATATGCCTTATTAAATGATGGTACTGTACTGCCTTCACATTTGAAATCATTTGTCTAGAATTCTCTCTCGAAAAAAAAAAAGTGTTTAATGTTTATTTTATTGTGCTGCCTCATTGCTTCACATAGTAAAATAATGTATATAGCGTTACAGATTAACATAATATATTTCTGCTGCAGCACCATAAGCTCCATCAAAGTGTTCACATTGAAGTGAAGTGAATGTGTGGGTCCGTACTTTGTGTCATGTGAACTGTGGATTTAATAAACCGTGGCTGTGCTGTTTGGCTCTGTAGTTGTGACAGCTCTCAGTGAACACGGCTGATGGACGTGTGATGCTTCAGACATGAGGCTGTGTGTGGGGAATGTAATTGGGCTGCAGAGGAAGACGAAGCTCTCGCTGTGAAACGGGCTTCACTGACTGCTGTTTGTGAAATCTGTCAGATAAAGACCACAGCTTGTGTTTAATGATTGTACCAACACTGTAAATGCCTTTGCATATTAGAGTCATGCATTAGTGTGTGTTGCCTGTGTATTTTAATTGTTATTTATGGTGACTCTTCTGTTGTCAGGCAGAAGCTATCTGTATATTTTTCTCTAGCTTTTATTATTGACCATTAAAATGATATATAATATTTTGTGATTTTGCTGAATTTGGAAGCTGCTGCCTTGGTCTTGCTTTTTTAGAGAAATGTGATGCAGTGGGTAAGTTTGATGGTTATATAGAAATTGCAAATTTGTATATTTTATGTTCCAAATAAAGTTGTTAATCTATTAGATTATATGATGTTTTTACACATTTCTGGGTACAGAACTGTGCATTTTGGGACGTAACATCACATTTTATTATAAATTACACTGATGACATGAGCATCCAAGATTTGTATAATCAACTGTTCCTTCTGCTCATTATATCTCTTCACCAACACCCACACTGAGCAGGTCTGGGCTGTAGTCAAAGGACAGGCAGGAGAACATTCCAAAGAACAAATCCAAAGTGTCTAAAATTACTTTTCTTTCTTGGACATTCATTCAAAAATACTCCTTGCAGCCAAAATAAATGTTTTCCTTATCAAATTAAAGATATTAAGTGCTACAAAAATATGGCGTTAGTGCACCAGCTATACGTCAGGTGGTCAGAAACCTTCTCTACACATTCATGTCAGAAACACAACTCCAAACAAATGCTGATGTCTCTCTGTATTGGACAGATGTATAAATAGTAAGGACGTTGATCTACGCCTTTTTCAACTGCTATGTACCTGTTAAAGTCAATTCAATTGATCCTTTCATTTGTTTTACGTCAGCTGTCAAACAGGTATTAATATTTCAGCTCAGGGTGAACGTGTCCTGCATTTAGCTTTCATGTCTGGTGCATGGTCATTCACCATAGGCGGAGAAATGCAATACAAATCATTTATTAATGTTATTTTCAGATAGGATGAATGTATGTTATTGATAGTTTATTTATTTGAAGTCAGGACTATAATAATTGTGACTCTGAATACTAAAATGATTCTTTTAAGATGTTCTAATATATCCCATGGAGACAATAAATGATATTCATGTACCATAGTGATTTGTTGACAGACAGCTCCTTTGACATCAGACTTCAGCAGAATGGAAATTGACTGATGTTTAGTATGTAAATGTGTCAAAGCACAGCCAACATCCATCACTTTAAATTAGACATAACGATGTCAGGCATTTGCATTCAAATAGCCCCCCCTTCCAACATTTACATAAACACTGCACTTCCATCTACGGCGCATCGGCCAATTTAAAGTCTGAGAACAGTTTCAGTGAACTGCTAATTTACTGCCATAGCGCAGGCTTTACTGCGTGAGTGGAATTTCAAAAGGCTTCATACAATTTCTCTGGAATGTAAATAATGTTTTGACGTGTGCCAGCCCACAACGTGTGCACAGATGCTGCTCTGCTGTCGGCTCAAGCTTCAGATGTGAGACAGTCTATAAAACACCTTAGAAAGAAACTGCATTCACTTTTAGCCATTCCTCATGACAGTTTTTGATTTTCCTTTATGTTACTTTAACCCCATTTAGTCTATACCTAACATTAAAGGGGCCTTATTATGTTTTGGGGTTTTTTCCTTTCCTGTAGTGTAGGTTTTTTCTGCATGTTAATGATCTGCAAAGTTTAAATCCCTGTGTTCCCTCCAGATCAGGGGTGGGCATTTTACGGCCCGCGGGCCACATCCGGCCCGTTGGCCGGCCTTGGCCGGCCCGTGTGAGGTTGATCATAAATTATAACATAATGAAAAAAACAGCAACCTTTTCAAAATAAAAGCGTAAATACTTTTCTAACTGTGTTGCTTTTATTTTGAAAAGGGCACTGCTGTTTTTTTTATTTATTTACGTAAACGCGCATGCCGTGAACAGCTACGAGTGATGCTGGCCGGCTAGTCCTCGAAATGTCCGCTCAGGGCAAAAAAAGAAAGATCGATACTGAATGCCGCGTTTTCAACAAGACATGGACCGCTAAGTATTTATTTACAGAAGTGAAAGGTAAAGCTGTGTGTTTAGTTTGTGGTGCGCAGGTCGCTGTGTTCAAGGAGTACAATTTGAGTCGCCACTATGCTACCAAACACGCAGATAAATACAAGAACCTGTCTGAGGAAGAGCGGGCAAAGGGGTCGGATGCTTTGCTAGCTAAGCTGCAAAGCCAACAACACATTTTCACAAAACATTCCACATCCAGAGATGCAGCTGTCAAGACGAGTTATGTCTTAAAAGTAAACCGTTTTCGGACGGAGAGTTCATTAAGGAGTGTTTGAAAGTGCCGCTCTCCCGACGCACTGTTATGAGGAGAATTGAGGACATCGCGGGAAATCTTGAGCTTCAGCTGCAGAACAGAGCGGTCAACTTTGACTTTTTTTCCTTGGCTTTGGATGAGAGCTGCGATGTACGTGACACTGCCCAGCTACTCATCTTCCTACGTGGGATAACTACAGACTTCAAAATCACGGAGGAGCTGGCAGCCATGCAGTCAATGAAAGGTACAACAACAGGGAGTGATTTGTTCACGGAGGTAAATGCATGTGTGGAAAAGTTGGGACTGAAATGGGACAAGCTGGCAGGCGTGACAACGGATGGTTGTCCAAATCTGACAGGGAAAAATGTTGGACTATTGAAGGGAATGCAGGATAAAGTGACAGAAATTAACCCTGATTAGAAATTGGTATTTTTGCATTGTATTATACATCAGGAAGTGTTGTGTAAGTCAGTGTTAAAAATTAACCATGTTGTTGATGTTGTAACTAAAATAGTTAACTTCATCAGGGCAAGAGCATTGAATCACAGACAGTTTGTTGCACTTTTGGAGGAAAGTGAGACTGAACATCGTGACATACCCTACCATGCAGCTGTCAGGTGGCTCAGCCTGGGCAAAGTGCTGAAAAGAGTATGGGACCTGAGAGAAGAGATTCAAGACTTCTGTGTGAAGAAAGGAAACGACATCCCACAGCTTTCAGATGCAGACTGGATGGCAGACCTTGGTTTTGCTGTAGATG